GTTTTTATGTGTCAAGGAGACTTCTTTTCTGGTCTAATCTATTGGTGTTCTGTACCTTTATAACCATCCTCTTCTTTTTTTAAAAAAAAATATTGATTTATTTATTATGTATACAATATTCTTGTCTGTGTGTATGTCTGCAGGCCAGAAGAGGGCATCAGGTCTCATTTCAGATGGTTGTGAGCCACCATGTGGTTGCTGGGAATTGAACTCAGGACCTTTGGAAGAGCTGGCAATGCTCTTAACCGCTGAGCCATCTCTCCAGCCCCCCCCCCCATCCTCTTCTTTAGGTTAGGAATTTTTTTCTTCTATGTTTGTTTTTGTTTTTGCTTTTCAAGAAAGAGTCCCTCTGTGTAGCCCGGGCTGTCCTGAAACGCGCTCTGTAGACCAGGCTGGCCTCAAACTCACAAAGATCCGCCTTCCTCTGCCTCCTGAGTGCTAGGATTAAAGGTGTGCACCACCATTTCCTGGCTCTTCTGTTAAATATTTTTCTGGGCCTTTGAGCTGGGTTTCTTCTTCCCCTATTCCCATTATTCTTAGATTTGGTTTTTGATAGGATCACTATTTCCTGGCAGTTTTGTGTCACAAGTTTTAGATCTAACATTTTTTTTAAAGTGATGTATCCATTTTTTTTTTCTTTCCTATCTTCAGCACCTGAGACTCTTCCATCTCTTATAGTTTTTGGATGAATTCCCAAAATTTTTTCAATTCCAGAATTCCCTAAGTTTTAGTTTGCTTGGGGGGTTTGGTCTGGGGAAACCCAGAGGTGAAGCTCTGCCTACTTTTCCTTTTTACTTATGAAAAGAAATGCACTTTTCTATGTGGAATGCACTTGGAGAGACTGGAGAACTATAAAACTATGTATTTATGTCTGTGTGACATATATTTATGTCACATGTTTAGTTATATTTATGTCTTCCATGTTTAGTTATAATCTTTAGCTAAAAATAAACATTTATTTAATTTTTAAATGTTATTGAGACAGTTCTTCCTCCCAGGCTGGCCTAAAGCTCATGGTATAGCCCAAGCTGGCCTACACTTTTGTGTTCCTGCTGCTGCTGCTGCCTCTTGAATGCTGGGACTGCAGGTGTGCTACTGGGTCTGGCTAATGTTAACTTTTTAAAGAGCAGATTTATTACTTAGCATTTGTATCTTCAGGGAGGAGGAGGTCTGAAATCAAGAATGACTTCCTATCTTCTGTTAGTGGAAAGAAACCAGGATGTTACTATTTTCTGGGTTTTAAAGAGATCTGCCTGCCTCTGCCTCCCAAGTGCTGAGATTAAAGGTATGTACCACCACCACCCAGGGCGTGAATTTCCAGAGTCTTTTTGTTACCACAGTAGCTTTAGCAATAATAATAAACAGCCTTTATTTTTTGTTTTGCCTGCAAATAGGATTTGCACCATGTGTGCAGTACCCGTGCAGGCCAGAAGAGGGCATCAGATTTCCCCCTCCCCTGAAAATGGTGTTAAAGATGGTGGTGAGCCACACTGTGGGTGGTGGGCATTAACCTCTGTCCTCTAGAAGAGCAGCCAGCACTCTTCCCCACGAGGCCGTTTCTGCAGCTCCCCACAGTGGCTTCTGGAACACTGGAGAAGTCGCTCAGTACTAGGTACATCACCTTCCATAGCAGATAGCTCAGACTGCTGCCAATGTTTTCGTCCTATGTAAGACTCCTCAGAGGTCTGGTTGAAGGATGATCTCTCACAAATGCCACAGTATCTGCAATGTCCTGCCCACATCCTCCTGGAGGCTTGAAATTACCCCTATGTTGCTGTGCCCAACACTGGGTAAATCTTATGTAAGAAAACTGAAAGTATTCAGTATAGGCTGTCTTCCAGATATTGTGAGTCTGCTCTTGGTTGAATCCTTTTCTACGGAACCAGTGCTGTGACTGTGACTTCATCAGCTTCACAGCTGAATGTGAGAGTAAAGATAAGACAAAAAGGGCTAGAGAGATGGCTCAGTGGCTGAGAGCACTGGCTGCTCTTGCAGAGGACCCAGGTTCGATTCCCAGCACCCACCTGGCAGCTCACAACTGTCTGTAACTCCTGTTCCAGGGCATCCAACACCCTCCCAGACACATCAGACACACACATGCAGGCCAAACAGCAATGCACATAATACAGATAAATTTTAAAAGGGCGAAGACAGACCAGCGACACTTCTGTGTATTACCTATGTTTTCAATCAGACAAGTAAAGGATGTTGTTATTTTTTTTCTTTTAACTTTTCGGTCATGGCTATGCAACTAAAACCCACACTAGAATTCAAACCCACTTATGTGTACAATATTTAAATATTGCCATTATTTAAATTTCTAAAATACCCTTTTAAGTGGTGAGATTTTGTGAAGGCCACATGGTTGGTGGGGTGGCAAATCATGGTCTGCTGACTGATGGTTATTACAAGCCACAAGGTAAATGTGATCTTAAAACTGTCTTGTTTTCAAACACTGAATTGGGAGGGGTGGATAATGCATGTGCCATGACACATGTATGGGACTGGGAGGGGTGGATAGCACATGTACCATGGCACACGTATGGGACTGGGAGGGGTGGATAGCGCATGGGTGGCACATGTACGGAGGTATGACTTGTAAGTAAGTGGTGGTTTCCTCCAGCTGGGTGTAGTGGCCTACACTGTTAATGGTTAATCCCAGAGGCAGGTGGATCTGACTTCTATCCAGGGCAGCCAGTGAAATCCTGTCTAAAAGAAAAAGGAGCTAGTTTTCTCCTGCCATGTAGGTCCTAGGAATCCATTCGGATCACCAGTCTTGGTGAGTGCCTTCACTAACTACTGGCCCCAGGTTTTAGATGGTAGAAAAAAACTGGCCTCAAACTCAGTGTAGCCAAGAACAATGTTGACCTGACTCTCCTCCTCTGTGTCCCCAGTGTTGGGGTTACAGGTGTGCGCCACTGTGCCTGCTTCATGCAATTCCAGGACTCAGACCCTGCATGCTAGACAAACATCCTGCTGACACCCCCAGTCATGTTCCTTCACTTCTAGACCACGTGTGGTTGCTTTTGCACTCACAGCTACCGTGGGTTATCTGTTTTCCTAGTGCCACTGCGGGCACTCAGCTGAAGGGAGGCATTTGCAGAAGTTACTGACAGCCGGTGCACAGCTCGCTTTGGGTTGGGCGATCAGCCTTATCGGGGTCTCCAAGTACAGTTAAGCTCGTCAGTGTATTTTCCTATGGTATCTACTTAATATTTTTTTAAACTTTAATATTCTCTAAAGGTATAAAATCTGTGCCAAGATAAAATTCACCTGCTATTTTAGTGTGACCCAGAAGTTAATTCTGTCCGCTCCCTAGCTGCTGTGGCGCACCAGTTTCTGCAGTCCCCTCCGTATGCTGCTGGTTAGGGGCCGACCAACTAGGGCAGTGTTTCCCCGCTGCTGCTGGCTCAGCAAGACTTTGAAAGGCTTTGATCTAGGTGGGGCTTTCCCCAGATCCCGACGACTCCATGCCTACCTTGTGCGTGGTTCCCACGGGCCAGAAGCCTTCCCTGTGCCTTCTAAATGCATGCAGAACAACTGTTTTGCTTTGGAGTCTAATAGGACTAGTGTTCTGGTCTTTGCAGAGTTTTCGGGCTACCTCCTCTCCGCACCCTTACAGGAGAGCAGCACAGCGCTGCACGGAGCACTGAGACGGGGAAGAACTCTTGAGTACTGCATGGGTCCACATATGTCTGCATATGTCTGCTTCCTCCGTTGCACACCACCCTCCACACCCGGATGCACAAAGATGCTCTTGACAAACCAGCTCGATTTCTGTTGTCTGAGTGGAGAGAGCATTCAAAAGGCTTTTTTTTTTTTTTTCGGGCAGGGGAAGGCAGGGCTTTCTGTAGTGGCTCGGTTGACTTGTGAGACATTGAAGGTGGAGTTAAACGGACTTGTGCCCTCTCCAGCAGCACGTGCAGTAAAACATGCGGAAAAGTGATTCGTATTTTTAACAAACACCTAATTTTAAAAGCAAAATTTTTGAATAAGAGGAAGGAAGGTGCTTATTTTGCATCAGCCTGAGGAGATTGTTTTGGTTTTATTTCTTGGAACTAAAGTAAATTTTATTAATGAGCTTAGTCCAGGTCCTTCTGTGCCATACCCAGTGTGTAACATGCAACCCCAGATCTTGGGAGGGGAAGCAAGAGAATTTGGAGTTCAAGGTCATCCTCAGCTACATAAGATTTTGGGGCCATTCCTGGCTACACTGAAACCCTATCTAAACCAAAAGTAATAAAATGTGGCATAATAGTAGCTGTCAGAGCTCTTGTAATGCTGAGCCATTGTTTCATGGTGGCATCGTAAAGTTAATGACATGATGCCAGCCCTAAAGTGGACATCAGAAACTTTCAGAAACTGGCAGATAAAACTGAATTTCCCAAGTGCGTGTGGAATGAACTTCTGTTGCTTTTTTGTTTTTATTTTGATATAGAATTTTGCTACACAGCTCAGGTAGGCTCAGAACTCACAAGGTCTTCCCTATATACATCCCAAGCTGGAGGCCCTATGCCTAACCCAGTATAGAGTAAAATAATAATAGAAACAATAGGGCTGGAGAGAAGGCTCAGTTGGTAAAGTGCTTATACAAGCTTGAGAACCCTAGTTCAGGACTTCAGAACTCAAGCAAAATGTCAGGTGGAGCAGTGCATGCTGGACAGACAGTCTAGCCAATCGGGGAGCTCCCAGGTCCAGTCATAGACCCTGTTTCAAAAAACAAAAGATGGGGAGTGCAAGATAGATATGATCAAATGCATTGTATACGCATGTGAAGTTCTCAATTAGAACTATAAATACAGGAGCAACAACTGAGGGAGATACCAAGGTTGACCTCTGCTCTCTCTCTCTCTCTCTCTCTCTCTCTCTCTCTCTCTCTCTCACACACACACACACACACACACATACACACACACAAAGAAGGGGGAGGGGTGCCTAGGGCCTTGTAGCACAGTAATGAGAGTGCTTGAGGTTGTGAGGAAAGAGACAGCAAGCAGAGCTTTATGAATGTCAGGCAGGCAAGTCAATTTATTGGCTAAAGGACAGCTGCCATCCCTTCATCCACAACGGTCCTGCTGTTCCCGCAGAAGGAAAAGCACGCTTGCAGTTGCCACGTGAAACCTTGGCTCTCTGTTAAGAGAAAAAGTTCCTTTGTACACAGAATTGTTTTCTCCTGAGGAATCATGGGAAACAGCTACCAACAGTTCTCGGAAGGCTGCGTGGTTCGCAATATCTTGGCATGCCTGCCATTCTGACCTTGCCTGGCAGTTGTCCTCAGCTTTCCGACATCTTGTCGAGGATCAGGAGAGGGGCAAGGATTCTCGCTCTGTTGGTTTCCACAATGCAGCCGTTCAGCAGCATCTCATCCAAAATGATGTGGACTTTATCCAAATTAAACATTATCTAGGTTATATTAAGGAAATTAGTTTGAGAATTTAGCAAACCTAAATAGTAACATGCTTAGCCTGGCATTTTCCTGGTAAATAGGCTCCAACATGAGTTTTGTTTGTTTTTTAAATCCTTAGTAGAGATTACCTTCATATATATGTACACACCTAGATTCATCTTGGCTAAAGCAAGTTCAATAAACAGATATTGAAATGAAACAGCTCCTTCAATTATGTTTGTCTATGTATATGTGTATGTATGTATTATATGTGTGTGTATGTGTATATGTATTATGTATGTATGTATATATAATTTGTGCTCAGGATGGAACTCAGGGCCTCGCATGCGAGGCAGCATTCCAGCATTCAATACCCCATCCAGAACAGCACATTTTGTTAACCAGAGTGGGCTAGAATCCATTAAATGCCAGAGCACTCAGCAGGTAACATTTCAGCAAGAACATGACTTGACCTCAGTAACACGCTGAGCCTGTTGAACGCTCACTGTGCTCAGGGCACTGTGATGAGTGCATTAATTTATTACCACGGTCTTCTCTGCAATCCTCAGTTACTCAGAAGCCAATGGGAAAAGCCGGAGCTGGGTTGCACTGACTGCTCCCTTCTCCAGACTTCTCGTGAGCCCAAGGCTCCAAGTCAACATGGTCTCTCAGCCCCTGGGGCGCTACCTACCCACGAGCACCCTTCTTGGCCTGCACCTCAGCTGTCTTCTTTGCCAGGCAGAAGAAAAATAGTGCAGAGAAGAAAGGAGTAAAGGAGGGGAGGCATGCTAACTAAACTTGCCCAAGGACAAAAGTTCTGAGTTTCACACACTTTTGAATTATGAAGGCTAAAGGTGGAACACTCCCTGGATCACCGGTCTCTGTGGGGGACGAAGGTGCACTGGGCAGTCAGAAACCAGAAAGCCATACTCTCTGAGGACACACTCATCTGGGTGGCTAACTGGAGCAAGATGGCTGCAACGCTTGAATGTTTCTTAATTTTACACTCGAAACCTGAGGTTCTGGTTTTAAAGAGCTGGTTTGACAGGGCCCACAGGTCTGGGTCCATTCTACCTTGACTGAAGGTCAGAGAGTTAGAATTTCTGCTCCTTCAAGGTTATTGTCAGCAGGTGTGGCTAATATCCAGACCTGGTATTACAGGTATTGAGAAGTAGATGTTTCTTTTTTTTTAAGTTTTATTTTTATTATTATTATTATTTTTAATTTTATTGATTTTTATTGAGCTCTGCACTTTTTCTCTGCTCCCCTCCCTGCCTCTCCCCTCCTCTTCAGCCCTCTCCCAAGGTCCCCATGCTCCCAATTTACTCAGGAGATCTTGTCTTTAGAGAAGTGTTTCTTGTCTTTTAGAGATGTGTTTCTACCTCAAACAAAAGTCTAAGGGTCCAGCTAGGTTCCTGCTCCCTTAGGAAGACAGCTATGGACTCCTCCCAGAGAGTGGTTAGCCTACAGAATGGTCTTGGGTGTGACTGTTACTTGTCTTGTTCTGGCAATAGAACATTTAACTAAGAATGTAGCCTGAAATCCTTCAACTGGTTTGTTCATTCCTTGTAGCATGTGAGGTTTTTTGTTGTTGTTTTGTTTTGTTTTGTTGTTTTTATCTTACTCCTACTTTTTGTGGTCGGGGTATTTAAGCAAACGGAAATTAAACATGGGTGATTTCAGTGTTCACTGGAACTCCCTCTCGGTGCTGTCCTGTGCTTCTGATTTATTATTTGCACTCGCGTCTTCATTCTCCTTACTTATTTTCCTGGTCCCCGTGCCTCTGTTATAATAAGTGGCATCCTTGTGGACGCTGGTCTCCGACACTGGCTGAAAAGAAACAGCTGATTCAAATAGACAAAGTTCATTTGACAAATGGGTGATTGATTAAACGTACCGGTGAGTTTGTAATTATAAATCTTTACAAAACAAATCATAACCTGATTTTGTTCAATTCCTGATGGCCAAAGTCTCTCTCTATTGTGTTTGTTCAGTGAAGTCTGTCTACAGAGAATGACTTTCGAGTTCCATCAGACTCTGTTAACATCTCATTAAGTTCTCTGCAAATAGCTTGCTAGCAGGAGCCGATGGGAACTGTCCTTAAGTGACCCAGAAAAAAAAAAAAGCTTTGCTCTGATATACCTATTAATAATGTCTTCCAATTATATAGATGATTGCTTTGTCGCAGGCCAAAGTAGGACTGGAATGAATGTTAGGCTCAACCCTGTTCATCAGAACCAGCAGCCGGAGTTTACGAGCCGAGACAAAGTGGCAATGCAGTCGGGCAAGAGTTGAGGGGCTGGGGATGCGGCTCAGTTGCCAGAGCTGGCCTAGCAGCACGAGGTCCTGTGCTTGATTTCCAGCACCCCGTAAACAAGGTATAGGAACACACACCTGTGATCTCAGCTCTGGCAGGTGAGGACAGGAGGATCAGGAGGCCAAGGTCATTTTTGCCTCCACGGCAATTAGAGGTCTGCCTGGGATACATAACAGCCTATCTCAAAAATAAAAAGGGATTAAGCAGCACAGACAGCCGAATGGAAAAGACCCCTGAGCCGTCTGGAGGTACTGAGGGCACTATGTCCTTATTTGACATAGGAGGAAACTTGGTTTTCTCTGTTTAATTGGCTCTCTGGTCAACCTGTCCCATCTTCAGCAAATAAATGACCATTATTCAGATGTCCCCTTGAGCCTGACTGTTGGGAAATTTGAATTGGGATTTATTGCTGAATCATATCAACCACTGACACCACTACATTGCAAGGACGGGTCCTCTGGCAAGCCTGATTCCCTAACCTCCTGGAAACATGAGTTAGTCAGTGAGGTCATTCTGTACTGTGACCATATGACTGCCTGTCTGTGTATCTGGCTCAAACCCTAATGATAACCCAGTTGTTCATGAGCAAAAACCATAGACCAGATCCCAATGCAAAGCAAAGGCCTGAAAGCTGATGCCCCCCTAAATCACAAGACTCCTTTAAAATAAAAATCCAGCTGTTCAGATCTTTATTTGGTTTATGAGCAACTTGTGCACATGGGTAGAGCCAAGATTAGTGGCATTTGGGCCATATGCCAGGGACCAAAAAAGTATCATATTTGCCAAGCCTCAAGGACCTAGACACAAGCAAGTACTGACACAAGCAAGCTCTTGTGTCAAGACACAAGCAAGCTCTGTCTGAACAGGAGGAAGCAAGAAGAAATTGGATTGTGGGTCTATTGACTCAAGTGGCCAGGGAGAGAACTTCCTTCAGACTGGGTTGAATATAACCAACCCCCCAAACTACTAACAACATCTCAAGGAGCGCATTTACTAAACCCCATTGGGGTGTCTATGGACAACAGGCTGGGATGGGCATCAGAGGTGTCCTACACAAGAATGCTCGTTTCTGCCTCCTAAAACATGTTTCTCACAGGATGTTTGAGTTTATTTTCCTCGACACAGGATCTTAGATGGTCTGACTGGCCTTGACCTTGTTATGGTAGCTGAAGATGGCCCTGAACTCCTGTCCTGCCTACCTCCACCTTCTTCCCAGTACTGGACTACAGGTGGGAGCCCTCCATGGTCATACCAGCCCTCCATGGTCATACCAGCCCTCCATGGTCGTACCCAGCCCTTCACGGTCTTTTAATACCAATGTGGTGGGTTAATTGTCCTTTAATAAGTAGAGAACAGAGCAAACGAGAGTCAAGTAGAACAACTGTAAGGCAGAGCCCAGCCCAGACACCAAACTGGCTAACTCCAGGGAGTCAAAGAGATGGCTCAGCAGTTCCCAACACACACGGCAGCTCACAACCATCTTTAGCTCCAGTTCCAGGAGATCAGACATCCTTGTCTGAACTCCTTGAGCACGCATGAGACACACAGGCATACACACACAGAGACACTTAAAAAACAAATTGTTTTAAGTATGAACATCTGGGCCTGTCTGTACTTCTTTCTTACTTCCTTTGCTGGGACTGAACCCAGAGTCTTAGGAATGCTAGGCTGGAGCTGTCCCAGAGAACCACATGAGGACAAATGAACCCTCACTCCTTTTGCTTCTCATAACTTGCTGTTACCGTTTTTGAGTATCGAACGAGTAAGGTAAGGCAGAGAACACAAAGATAAGAGTTGGATGTGGGGATTCACTCGGTAATCCTGGTTCTTGGGAGGCTGAGGAGGATTACACAAGCTTAAGGCCAGTCTGGGGTACATAGCGATTTCCAGGCCAGCCTAGGCTGCAGAGCCTGTCCCCTCAAACTAAGTCAGTAACTTACCTAACATAACAACAGAGGAGATGCAAAAGGGAGAAGGTTTTGGGAGTCAGAAGAGGCTGGAAGTGGACTCTGGGATCTGCACCATTCACATCCCTTTCTCGGGAATGCGTTCCCTTGGGAACGATATCCGAGACCCTCACTATTGGCTAGAGGGGCTTCTGGGAGCACATCCAGGTGGCTTTGGTTCATTGGGAAGCTGAGCCTGCACTGGGATGGCAACCCTGAGCAATGCCTGCATTTCCGGCCGCTATCTCCGCAGTCCTTGTTTGAACAAATGGCTTTGCGGTCTCTTATTCCATCAGGCTGAGAGTAGTGCTGTGCGGAGTTTTCTGGTCCGGACCTATGACGGACACAGGCTTTCAGGATATGAGTGAAGAAACTTCAGCTGGGCTCTGGGTCTCAAACACAGCATGCCCATGAATCTCAATGGTGCCAGTCAAGCCGTCATCGTCTAGGGATGTGCTCTGCCAGATGGTGGCAGACTTAGAGACTGCGTACAACACTGATGTCATTCCTTATGACCCAAACTCAGTGGTAACAAGGAAAGCATGAAACAGGTGCCTTTCAAACCCGCAGCAGCTCTGGAGTGTCAGTCAACACCCTCTGCCTTCTGTATGCTCAGCACGATTCACACACAAAGGATAGGGAGGCCAGTGAGCTCCTTCAGAGGGGAAGCTGCCGAAAGACTCAGAATGGGGTTCTCAGAAGTGCAGAGCCCTAAAGGGACCTTAGTTACCAAGGGCAGAGAAAGTGCTGCTGCGTCCTATGCTTGCTACGGCAAAACCAGATGTTGGGTGCTGGGAATCACTCCCAAGGCCCTGTGTAGACGGGCCAGTGCTCTCCCGCTAATCTATATTTGCAGCCCTTTCTGTTTAAGGAGTAGACCCCACAGTGACAGGTGAGCTTTTCTACACACCCGTGCACAGCAGGTGCACACCGGACAGCGCGCTGGTCACCAGTGTCATTAATTACCCAACTGCTTAACAGGTGGCGCTGAGAATAGCTCCTCTGAATTCTCAAGTGTTCAGGGCTGATCATGATTTAGGAAATTCAACAACTGGTGTCTAGAAAAAAAAAATCTTCATGAAGTTTAAAGCCTTAGGTAAACCCAACAAGCTATGTGATGGGGTCAGCTCTCTATGGAAATACATCTTCTGCAGCAGCAGCTTGGGGGAGGGGCAGTAGGACGCTGTGAGGAGCTTATTATTCCCTATGGAGGTGACTTAGGTCACTGGGGTGCTCAGTCTCAAGTGGGTAGTTTGCCCACCGGGCACCACTACACCTAGGGGTTCTACATATTGGAAAAAGGTTTCAACAAGCCAGAATTCCTGAGCTGGTTTCTCCTGCTTGGAGCATTTCTGTTTAAATCCCATTTGTCTTGTTCTGTGCATCTCAGCTGGAAGTAGAACAGTAGTGTGTGCTGGAGAGGAATGTAAGTGATCCCAGCTGGCTTTTCAAGGGGCTTCTTGAGAATTTCCTGACCGGGACCTTCCTTCCTCCCTCCCTTCCAGTGTTTTAAGACAGGGTTTCTTTGTGTAACAGCCCTAGCTGTCCTGGAACTCACTCTGTAGAACAGGCTGGCCTCAAACTCACAGAGATGCACCTGCTTCTGCCTCCTGAGTGCTGGGATTAAAGGCGTGCGCCACCCCCGCCCAGCCCAGGAAGGCTTTCTTCACCCAGCACTCCAAAGACGTGGGCTGTGAGCACTGGGAGAACCGGGGGCAAGTGTGGCAGTGCTTGTTTCAACCCTGTGGCTCTAGAGCCCAGTCCCGGAAGCAGTCACTGCCATCTCGGCTTCTGTGGCACTGAGAATGGACTGCAGCAAATTGCCCTCCCCATGGAAGCGGGAACTAGGGTGGAGCCTCCATGGATTGCCGGTTCCCTGCCACGAGATTCTCTGTAGAAGTCCTCCGGGACAGATGGAGAGCCATGCGTGAGGCAAGTGAATCTTGGGTTTTGAATTTGCTGTTTTTCAGATGGTTCAAGGGACAGTAACATTTTAAGAGAAGTTCCTCTGGACTGAAATACACAATGTAGTGAGGAGAGAAAGGTGAAATGAAAGCAAGGGGGGCCAGCTGTGGTGGCGCACACCTTTATCCCAGCACTTGGAGGCAGAGGCAGGTGCATCTCTGAGAGTTTGAGATCAACCAGGGCCACCTCTGTCTCAAGAAACAAACAAACACAACAACACAAAGGTAAAGGATAAGATAAAACACGAATTGTGGGTCTTGGTGGGGAAAATAAGTTGCGAAGGGAAAGCTGGCCATCCCAGGAGTCTACAAAGGCGACACTGCGGCCTCTCTCTGCACTAAACGCCCCTCAGCTGAAGCTACCCCAGCACGACCAGCATAGCCCCAGGCCGCGCCACGCTGCCTCGCTCTCCGACAGCTGGACGTGGAAGAAGCCCTTCCTTAGGTGTCAGGGTCTCTGGAGCCATGGCAAGAGCCCCATCCAGGCTGAGAGGGCGTTTCAACTCCTCTAGTCTAATTACCCTCGGAAGTAAACGTGTCTGCTCAATGCGACCGGCAGAGCGGATCTTGGATGTTTAACTCCAGTAGCATCTGCTAGCTCTTACTGTTCTCATTGACTCTTAAAGTATTTTTTGAAAGCTTTCTTACTCCCCTGTCCAATTAGGAACAGATGTATTTTGAATTTCTTTCAATGGCTTGATTAAGACAGAATGTCACAGGGCTGGGGAGATGGCTCTGTGGTTAAGAGCTCCTCCTGTAAATTTGGGTTCAATTCCCAGCACCCACCTGGTGGAACACAGACCACCTGTAACTCTAGTTCAGGGGACCTGACCCCTCTTCTGGCCTCCAAGAACACCAAGCACAGACATACATGACACAGAACACCTCCACACATAAATTATTTAAGAAATGTCAGACACTGTCTAGCCTCAGCTCTCTTGGGTCATAGATTTAGGTCACTGGCCACTAGAGGGCAACCACCTGTCCTCAGATTTTCTGGCTATGCCCAGACTATGCCCAGTTCTTACCAACAGGAAGGGGTGAATGGCTGTTTCTCCAGAAGAGCGTGCTGTGTAAACAAACACACTGATTCTATTCTGCGCAGTGGTACCTCTGTGTACACACTGCAGGAAGCCCACACACATAAACATGCTGTAACCCGTGTATCTGTTAACTGTTAATAGTATACATAAATAGTTGTAATTATTTTAGAGTTAAGTCTGATAAGTTTTCAAAAGATTTCCTTATCATTTCCAAGTAATAGGTAGATTTTTTAAAATAAAGTATTTTTATTTTGCTTTATGTTTATGTGCATGAGTGGGTTTATCTATTTATTTATTTATTTATTTGCTTTTCAGACAGTGTCTCTTAGCATAGTACCGCCTGGCCTAGAATTCACTGTGTAGTCCAGACTGGCCTGAAACTCGCAGAGATCCACCTGTCTCTGCCTCCTGAGTGCTGGGATTAAAGATGAGTGCACCGTGTCCAGCCCGCTTACGTGCATTGTGCCCTACATGTGTCCGAGTGCCTGAGGAGTCCACAAGGGGGAGCTGCAGTGATGGGCGACTGGAAGCTGCCTGCTGTGGGTGCTCATAACCAAACTGGGGTTCTCAGAGCGACAAGCACTGTCAACCACGGAGCTTTCTCTCCAGACCCGAAGCAGGCTAACAGGAAAAATAGTATTAGACATCAACATCTTATACTTCTAGAGACTTCTCAAAAGCCTGCAAGTGCCTGTCCACCTCTGGGGTCCTGGGCATGCTTGCTTTGTTGTAAGGTGTGGGACTGAACCCAGGGCCAAGCACACACGGGGCAGGTGTCCGCCTCGGGCATCATTCTCAGCCCCAGAGACAGTTTTGACTTAAAAGAGAAAGAAAGGAAGTTTTTATATCCTAAAAGGAAAGGAGTATAAGCTAGGCCATGTCTCTAACCCTCCGGGCCATCCCCAGAATGCCACCTTCCGTCAAGAGGGGACTCTGGGTATTTACTGCAAGCTCAGTCTCCTTCAGAAAAGCACTTCTCCCTTGTGACACGTTTTGAACAAACCTATCTGATATGAGTAAGTTAAGTCAATATATAATAGTTAATTTTTTTGTGCCTCTGAAGAAATTTTATTGTGCCCTGAAGTTTGAGTAAAAAGTAACAGTGCCGTGGTAATAATGAGATTCTGACAACACCAGGCAGGTCACTGTCGGCCTCTGAGCAGTGTTTTCAAAGCTTTCCTCAGCTTCCCCGCGCTCCACCCAACATTCGGCCGTGGGTCTCTGCCTCTCTATGAGGACTGGGCTAGGCACCAGCCTCTGAGTATGGCAGAATATCATTATGAATCATTTCATTGTCTATTTTTGTGTGCCTGTCATGTTTGGTTCTGTCTTAGTAGTGCTATCCAGTAGCTGGGTCCTGGCTAATAGTTATTTTTTTAAACATAGAATTTATTTTTATTTTATGTGCATCAGTGTTTTGCCTGCATGTCTGTCTGTGTGAATATGTCAGCCCCCTGGAACTGGAGTTACAGAAAGTTGCGAGCTGCCATGTGGGTGCTGGGAATTGAACCTGGGTCCTCTGGAAGAGCAGTCAGTGCTCCTAACCACTAAGCCAACCCTCCAGCCCCATGTAATAGCTATTTTTGAGTACTACCACCTCGTTGCTTTGTTACGAGAGAAAGAAAAAGGGATCTTACAGAGCGTTGTCTCTGAAAGGGGGCGCTGGGGGGTCTGCGAATCACCTGCTGTGGGGCTGCCTCGGCAGGGTGGCCGGCGGTTGGTGTCCTGGGTTCTGCCAAACCACCCTCCTGCATGCTGGTGCTTACCTGATTACACCTAGAGTGGGCTTTGCCACATAGCATGGGAAATGTTCTGAAAAAGGATACATCTAGTTCACTCTGAAAAAGAAAACAAAAACGTACGGTGAGAAAAGGACCCCAGACAGTCCCGGCCCCTGGGCAGACAGGGGCTGCTCTGCCTCCAGCCTGCAGCAGCACCTGCTGGAGCCCAGGACGAGAACCTGGAAACTGAAAAAGGGGGAAGGAAAAGAAAGTTGCAGGTTAGGAGTTTTCAAGAAAGTAGAGGGACAGCTGGGCTTGGTGGCTCGTGTCTATAAGTCTGGGAAGCTGAGGCAGGAGGATTGCCACAAACTCAGGCCTGTCTCAGCCAACAGAGTTAAGATCCTATCTCAAAACACTCCCACCCCCAAAAGAAGGTAAGCAGGAGAATAATAAAGTAAATCAAGCTTTGTAGACAGGGCCATCCGACACGCAGCGGAAGCCACAGCCACACGCCTTCCCTTTGCATTCACTGATTTACTCTGGTTTATCTTAAGGATGCAGGGCACAGTAACAGGAGAGTCAGCGTTATCGATGGCAAACTACCGATAACAACCCAAGAATCTGTCTGGGGGGATTAGCTAAGTAAATTACAGCCAGCAGTAACTGATGATGTAGAAGTTTAATTAATGTGATACAAGCTTGTGTATCTCAGAGGTACAGTGCACCTGCCATTTTTAATACCCGAGGGTTGATCTCTACACTACAAAAACTAAATAATATTGTTGGACAGTGGTGGCACACACCTTTGATCCCCGCACTGGAGAGACAGAGGCAGGCGGATCTCTGTGAGTTCGAGGCTAGCCTGGTCTAAAAAGTGAGTTCCAGGACAGCCAGAGCTGTTACACAGAGAAACCTTGTCTAGAAAAACAGAACAAAATAATAATAGTAAAGATAATAATAATAATGTTAAAAAATGGTATGTAATCCTTTTATTCAGGGATTCCATACCCATTGATTCAACCAAGCACTCTGTGAAATCCTTGGAACAACTACTTGTATTGAACATCTACACTTTTACTCTGCCATGACTTCTTAGGTGTAATTACTCATAAAGCATTCACTGTGTGCTAGGTGCTGTCAACAACTTAGATGAGTCAGAGTTTATGGTAGTGTGTATGTAGGCTACACGCACATACCAAGCACTGTTCATGAGGGACTTAACCTGTAGGGATTTGGTATCCACAAGGGTGTGGTGGGGGCCTAGAACCCTTCTCCCAGCTCTGTCAGGGTTATCCTGTGGACAGAGGTACGTAGAGATGTCCAGTTCCACAGTTACAGGTGGTGTGTTAAGTCTAAAGGGCAGATGTCCCTAATTGGTGGGCCAATTGAGGATCTTCCACCCATCTTGAAAACATCGTATTGGGAGAGCACTTCGGGTTCAGAGAAAAACTGAGATGAATGTATAGAAATATCTCACATGAATAGCCTGCCCACTTCTCAACATCCAGTCCCAGAGAGGGTTCTCTGTTCACAGGGAGGGGCTCTTTGTCACCCTTCTTGTTACAGGTCCCCCACGAGTTCACACTGGGCTTCCCTCTGGTCAGTGTGCAACCTGAATCCTGACAGACGCAGAGCGCCACCGATCCAGCCGCTTTCCTCCTGCCCATCTGAACTTATTTTTGTTAAGAAAATAGCTATGCAGAGGGAAGAGGAAATGGAAATGCGATCATGTGTGATGGCCTCAGTGTTCAGGGTGGGACAGGAAACCCCGCCACCTCTTTCACTGGGAACCTCCAGAACTAACCAGTTTGGCTTTTGTTTTTGGAAATAAGATGCTGATATGCTTTTCTCGGTGCAACAGCGTGAAACGCATTTCCAAATTTAAGATGTCGAAACTGGCTAAGATAAAAATAGCTCAGAGAGAATGCTTAAAACTTACAAAGCCAAAAATAAATCTTAGCTGACAGGCACCCTGAGTGAGGGTCGGGTCCTCTTTCCTTCCCCACCGTCTTCCCTCTTGCTGTCTTTCTGCTCTGATTTGATCCTGAGCAGGGTCATCCTGGGTCCAGTACCAGTCAGCCCTTCACTGTCACCTGGCTTAAGTTAAATTTGAACCTTGAATTCTGTGGGTCACGCAGTTCCTGCCTCTCTCTTAACATCGCAGCTGTAATTTGGCATGTGCTGTTTATTTTCAGTAACTGAAGGCAACAGTAACTTAAAAATCTCACAGCAACAGTGTCTGGGCCCTTCTTTTGTTCTTCCTGCTGTAAGGCATTTTGGAAATTATATGCTTCCTGAGCGAGTGTCACCTGAAAGTGCCTTCCAGGGGCATCACAGAGCTTGCCTCGCAGCGGTCTATGCTAACACAAGAGCCGTGTCCTTGTGGGACAGGCACCAAGGCTGTACTGGTGATGCGGCCACCACCAGCTAAATGAGGGATTTACACTGAAAGTCCTTATAATTCAATAATGTTCCAAGTTCTCAGTCCCAGCCGGCACACTGCACATGCTCAGAGGAGCCCACACAGCAGCAGCTGGCAGGCCGAGGGCACTTCTAGTGCCACGGAAGGTTCAGAACATTGCTTGCCTAGGATACTCTAATACACAACCAGCGCAGACAGTCTCCTGCCCTGTGTCCCTGGAAGTCCGATCTCTTCTCCACTCTCTGCCCTGGAGGGCACCCACCCATCCACTGGGGACAAAGGACCTGTGATCTTCCAAGCTCTGACTCTTAAGGTAGAGAATTGCTGACCACAAGTCTCATGCACTAAAAAGACAGCTCCCAAACTTCAGCATGTGTCAGAATCACCAGAAGGTTGGCAGAACACACTGAGGGGACATGGCAGAGTTTCTGATGCTGTGGCCGGGGGCAGAGAGCTTGGATTTCTAGCCAGCTCCCAGTTTATTCAGCTGGCCGTGGTGCCAGACTCTGGGGCCCACTGCACTGAAGCTATGAGAACGGGCTGGGTCCCTGTGAGGAGCTCTAGGCTGGCTTCTAACCCGCCACAGAGCCGAGAAAGGCCTTGAGCTCCCAGCCCTCTTGCTTTTCTCTGCCACTCACACGTTGGGAATTCCAGCACCACCACATCTCAGAACACACAGCTCTAAACACGAGTTTTGTCTTGTTGGTATCAGCACACTCAGAATTGCTAATTACGGAGTAGCGTCCACTCACGGCCTCAGGAAGCAGCAGCGTGGGACAGTTCCTTCCTAATATTTTTATATAAAGGCAGAATGAAACAAACAAGTTTGAAGACCAGTAAGCTAGGGATGTAGCTTGGCTGGAGGAAGAGTGTTTACTCAGCATGCACAAAGTCGGGGCTCAACCCTCAGTGCTGCACAAACGGGGTGTGTGTGGGGGGGGTGGCAGCATGCACCTGTAATTCCAGGACTAGGGAGGCCGAGGCAAGAGGGTCAGAGCTGAAGTTCAAGGTCTCCTGGCTTATAGGCGGCACCATAGTTGGTGCTGGTAGTAACACAGCCATCCTCACTCAGTTTACAGGACTGCTGGGTTTCCAGCTCACTAGAGAGCTGCGTGGGTCAGGGTGGTCCAGCACTCGCAATACTATGGTCAACGGAATAGAAATGAGAGGCCACAAATAAACTTTTGCCTTCTATTTAATTAGATTTTTTGTTTGCTTGTTGAGATGGGGGTCTCCTATAACCCAAGCTGGCCTTGAACTTCCTATATGGCTGGTAGCCTTGACTCCATGGTCTTTCTGCCTCCACCCCACCATGCCTGGCTCAGCCCTTACTTAGGATTGCTTGTTTCAGAACAAGGAGCTAAGACATTCATGGAGGGGAAAAGGGCAGTTATCCCTGCTACTGAGACAAGCAGATATCTACATGCACAAAATGGGCATAGTGGTGCCTGCTTGTTAATTCCAGCCTTTGGGAAGCAGAGGCAGTAGGATCACGAATTTGAGGCCAACTTGGAGTGACACACCTCTTCAACTTAAGATAACAACAAATGAATCAAGATGATCTATAACTCACAACATAGAAGAAAAAGTTACTTAAATGTAAACTGTATCAGAGACAAATTTAGAACAAAAATGGTGAAACACTAAGAAGAGAGCCAGGGCATCTAAAGGTTTCCTAAGCACAGCTAAAGCATAAACAACAGGAAATACAGGCACACTGGTCATCATTAATAATCTTTAAATGCAATTAAAAACTGAGCAAAGGACTAAACAGATTTTCCAAAGGAGATTGGATGGGAGGCATGATAGTGCCCGCCTTAATGCCAGTGCTTGGGAGGCAGAGGCAGGCTGATTTCTGTGAGTTGGAGGCCAGCCTCGTCTACATAGCTCCAGGCCAATCAAGGCTACATAGTAAGACCCTATCTCAGACAATGAAGGAAAAGGTAAGATTTGGTGAGGATGTGGAGAAGTCAGGACACTCACACTGCTGATAGGAATTTAAATAATGAAAATACTGGAAAACAGCTTCCCAGTTAATGAAAAGGTTAAATATGAAAGTAATACTACCAAGTAATTTTTCTTTCAGGCATATGACCAAGAGAATTTCATTTAATCAATCTATTTAAAGAAAAGGTCTCAGTATGTGGCTTTGGCTGACTTGAAACTTAGCTGCCGATAAGGCTGGGCCTCAAACTCATAGAAGTCCATCTGCCTCTGCCTCCTGAGTACTAGAATTAAAGGCGTGCACCACCATGCCAAGATTTTTTTCTTAATTCTGAAATTAAGAAAATTTTGATCTGTCCAAAAATGTGATAAAAAATATTCATAGTGGCACTCTTCATAAAAGGCCCAAAATGGAAATAAGCTAGATGCCCACCGGTGACAGTGGATTAAAAACTGTGGCATATCCATACGGCAGAGTGTCACCTAGCAATAAAGAAGAAAGGAGTGCCGACAGTGCCCACGGATGGAGCCTGAAAGCGCCATGCTAAGAGACCAGCTTTGGAAGTCCATTGCGGTGAGGCATAAAGAACAGCCAGTCTCTAGGGACAGAAATCAGTGGTTCCCGAGGGCCTGGAGCAGGCTGGAGGGGGCTACAGAGGAGATGTCCAGGAATATGCTTCTCTACCATGTGATGCACTTTCCTTAAAATGACAGTGGCAATGGCTGTAAGATTTTGTAAATACTCAACCAAAACTATATACTTTAAATGAGAAAATTGTATGGTATATGAATTATATTTCAATATAGTTATAACATATCGAAAAAGGATGCTGGACTCCAAAGTTGACTTTGACCAATAAAGCAAAGGTTTGGATGGCAACAATTCTCCTTCTTTTATTTTGCATGTTACGGGTGTTCTGTCTGCATGCATGTCTGTGGACCCCGTGTGTATCTGGTGACCATGGAGGCCAAAAGAGGGTATCAGATCCCCAGGAACTGGAGTTATGGATGACTGTGTAGCCTCCATGTGGGCATTGGGAACCAAACCCATGTCTTCCGCTACTACAAGTACTCTTAACACCTGAGCCTTCTCTCCAGTGTTCCTTCCACCCTGCCTCTTTTCCCTTTTGGAAAGAGTCTTCTGTAGACAGCCTGGTCTTGAACTTGTTATGTAGTCAAGGATAGCCTTGAACTCTTGATCCTTGTGTCCCATCTCCTGAATGCTGGTTGTCAGGTGTGTACTGCCATGCCCAGCTTGGAAAGGATTTTTTTGTTTGTTTTTGTTTTTTTAAGATGGGGCTTCTCTATGTAGCCCTGGCTGCCCTGGAACTCACTCTGTAGACCAGGCTGGCCTCAAACTCACAGAGATCCGCCTGCCTCTGCCTCCCGAGTGCTGGGATAAAAGTAGTGTGCCACTACTGTCTGATTGGAAATGGTTCTTAGGGTAAAAAGGGTTCTGCTCTCTTAGGAAGGAAAACAGAAGGAATATATGAACAGCAAGTGAGGGGGAAGATGTCCTGAAGGGCAGCAAAATGCACAGAGGGACCTGCTTTTCTAAGAGTGGCTTTGTGACACTTAGGTTTTGTCAACTTGACAAAAGCTAGAAGAATTATCTGGAAAGAGGAACTTAACTAAGAAAATTTCCAGAAAGCCTTTGGGACATTTTTTCTTGATTGATGATTGCTGTGGGAGTGCCCAGCCCAGCCCAGAGGCGGGTGTGTGTGTGTGTGTGTGTGTGTGTGTGTGTGTGTGTGTGTACACATGCGCACACCACCCTTATGGTTTGGGAATTATAAGAAAGCAGGCTGACACCAAGGGGAGCAAGCCAGTCCTCAGCATTCCTCCCCAGCCTTACACTCAGTTCCTGCCTCGAGGATTCTGTCGAGTCCCTGACCTGGCTTCCCTCAGCTGGTGTAAGAGGTCCTTCTGTTTATGTGTTGCTTTCATTGGCTAATGAATAAAGAAACTGCTTTGGGCCTGATAGGGCAGAACTTAGATAGGCGGAGTAGATACAGAATACTGAGAAGAAGGGCAGAGTGGCAGACGCCATGGATCTCCTTTCTGAGACAGACGCTGGTTAGAATCTTACCGGTCACATGGCGATACATAGATTAATAGAAACAGGTTAAATTAAGATGTAAGAATTAGCCAATAAGAAACTAGAGCTAATGGGCCAAGCAGTAATTTAATTAATACAGTTTCTGTGTGGTTATTTCGGGTGTAAGCTAGTCGGGCGGCTGGGACAAACAAAGGGCCCCCCCTCTCCATGCAACACGCAGCCATTCACTGTGACTGGAGAGCTGTAGCTCCCCAAGTTGCTTGGTATTTACCACAGCAACAGAAGCAGACTAAAACAGTCTTCTTTGTGAGAGCTAAAGCACATATGGGTTTGTAACACCTATGGTGAGCAAGAAGGGACAGCAGTCCAGCACCATTTATTTTAGTTTTTGCATGTTAATTAAATACTATACTAACACAATACTAACGGATATCTGAATGACTCAATTTCTGGAAAACTGCGTTGAAACCATTTTTTAGCCATTAAACTTACCACTCGGCTGAAGTACTCGTCTAAAACTTCTACGAAATTGTGTATGAATTCATAAATAGCCATCTCATTCTGAAATAAAAGAAGGGTATAATTAATTTAATCATGCCCTCAGTTAAAAAAAAGTCTAAGGTTTTAGAGTACATGGTTCAGTATAGATGTGTGAGAGAAGCAACATCCTAGTCACTGATATGCAAAGGGTCTAAAACTGCTCTGTGAAATATTATTGTCACTGAGGATGGAGCTCAGTAGGGTCCTGGACTAGGATGTCGCCTCACAGGCGTGAGGTGTGGTGGTGCATGCCTGTAATCCCTGGTCTCTGTGAGACACTGTCTTAAAATACGAAAGAAAGGAAAAGAAAAGAAACAAAGGGAAAGATGCTTATTAGTGAAAGAAATACAGGAACCCTTAACCACTAAGACTTTTGCCGTCCCGGCTGAACCTGGTCAAGCTGAAACTTCAGAGCACGGAGCAGAAGTGTGAGCTCCACTCCCTCCTTAACCAACTTAAGCAATCTCCCAGGCTCTTCAAGGTTGTTACTCTGTGACTCACAGATAAAAACAGCCCACTGAGAGTTCAAAGGCTTTAGATATCACCCCTCCTCCGTGGACTCCATGGCCATAGGTACTGGCCTGACTCTCAACAAGGTGAGCCTCATCTGAGAGGTAACCACAGCAAGACAATGATTATATTTTGCTGTGACTTCTGATATGTCAGCCATGTCCTTTTCTCCCACATGTGTGTAGTGTGCACATGTGTGTACACATTTGTGATGTGTATGGACACATCTGTGTGTGCATGTGGAGGCCCAAAGCTGACTTCTGATGTCTTCCTCAATGACTTTCCACTTGATCTTTGAGGTAGAATCCGCTCACCTCCTGCTGGAGCTCACTGCCTCTGTCTCGAGAGTGCTAACATTACCTGTGGTCACTATGCCTGCCCCGCTGGTTTGTGGGTTCTGTGGGGCTTTTCTCTTCCCTCCAGCCTTCCACCTCAGCTGAGGCCCAGGTACTCTGAAAAAGGTTTACTAGTTCTTGGGGAGCAAGCAGAAAAGAAACTTGAACTTAGGGAGAATAAAAGTCTCTCATTGAGCACAGGCTTTTCAAGCATCTTACCTCAGTGTCGTTAACTCCAACCACGATGAAGAGAGCTGCATATTGCCGATAGATCAGCTTAAAATCCTTATATTCAATGAACGAGCACTAGAAGAAACACAATTAGACATTAAAGTCTGATTGACAGAGGTTTCTTCGACCAACACGCATAATTCCTCCGCTATGTTTGAGTCTGCTAGCACACCCCTAGAAGTTTAGACATTACAACGTTAAACGGCCTAGGCTGGCTCTGACAACTTAGAAGCATCTTTAGGAGGAGGAAAAGCCATCTTGGAAAAAGACCCAAGTGATCACTTGGGTTCCCCTTGTGCCTTTTTTTTTTTTTTCATTTCCTGGCTCCCTGTAGTGCTTGGCGAGCAAAGCTAATGAGTAGTTAGTATTTGAAAGTGCTTTAATGTGGAGAGGCACAAACATGGTGGTGGCCTCTTTCCACCTTTCCATGAATCCCTGGGAAGCAATGAAATCTGCTCGTTTCTGTTCTATTGAAAAGTCCTGGAGGAGCCAGCTCAAGCCATCTTATCTCCTACCATCCGTCCATCATTTACCGACACTTTCCTATTCATGAAAAGAACCAATGTAGATTATTTCATAAATTATGTAATGATGGCCTTTGCACAGCAGATGCCAGACAAGATTTCCCACTGTAAGTACTGCTTCTTATGAATTAATAACTGCCTTACTACTACTGACCTACAGATAAAACAACACTTTTCCTCATTCATCTGTCTCCTTCAGCCTCTGTATGAAGGGTCATGGGAAGTCCCTGGGTAGCCTGAAGGCTGACGGCGCAGTGTAAGTTTTCAGTGTCAAGGTATGCTGGGCCAAATGTGATTGAGCATGAACTTAGCAGCTTTTCTTCAGGATACATTGCTCTTGGGCACTCAATGTATCTGGGAATGAAGCTGAACCTTTTGACAAGGGGAATTGAAAATTTTTCATGTTTTTTAAATAGTCATTATTTCTATTGAGTGTATGTGTCTGCCTGAGTGTATGTATGTATGTATGTATGTATGCATGTGTGAGCTATTATTTATAGGTAATTTACATTGCTATAGATTCTTGTATACTGATACAAATATAAATTATATTGAATATGTTATTTTGTCTACAATATTTGTACAGCTAGGCAAAGTTATTTTGTCATATTGTATGCATGCATGTTTTTACCTCTGCTTAAGACATTTGTATATTGATACAATTTTAGGATATATTTATCATATTGCAATATACATTTCTACCTCTGATCAAATTACTTATACATTGTTTACATTTTGAGGTCATTGACCTCATTTGTTGCACAGTTGTTTAAAGATTGTTTAATATTCTAATATGAAATCTTAGTCTTTAAGCTATATAGGTATTAAGAATTATAGGTCAGTAGTCATCCATGTTTGTCATACTTATTGTTAGACTAATAAGGTTGTTTAGATACATAGAGATTGTATTCTGCATAGATAGGTAATCTTCAATCACTTCAAAGAGCTATAGAATATGACATTTAAATAACTTAGGGTTCTGTTGACATGAGACATGATTGCTCCTGGCAGCACTGATCTATTCCTGAGAGAATGTTGAGTACCAAAGACACTCCACTTGGGGTTTGTTTTGTTCTTGGCAAAACCGGCCTTTGGGCAAAAAATTGCCCATGCATCGACACTGACAAAATGCATGGTGTCCGGACAGGACAAGGAGGATACAAGATAAAAGACTGTCAAATCTTGCCAAGACAGGTAAGACGGTTTTGAAAATTTTCCTGCCTCTAAAAATGGTCTGTAAGTTATTCTGGGCCTTAGCCAAAGTTGGTTGCTTCAACACTGCAAATGAGACTTTGGGTGATTGCCCAGGTAGCCAGTTGTCTCTGTCATTTGTTGTATATTTTGGAAGTTGTTTGATTGCACTTCCTGCTTACTCAAGTAATATTATCTCCCTTCTCGGGTCTTCGATGGGGTTGAAGACTATAGTCGTAGATACTTTCTGCTCATGAGTTGGCCAAGTTATTTATAATACAAGACTTAGGATGGATAATTATTGAAACATTTCTCACATGTTTCTTCCTTGATATTGTTTATGCCAGATGTAATTCTAATTTTTATACTTGATATTTGTTCTTATTGTATATAATTTTGTATTAGTCTTAGAACTCTCTTATTTAAACAAAAGGGGGAGGTGTTGTAGGAAATCCTTCAGCCAGTAGCCTTTAAGTTACCAGCCCACTTGGGCATGGCCTCTCATACTAGAAATGCTGATGTAAAGTACATGCTCACTCTCTTTCTCTTTCGGCTGCTGGATTTGATTGCTGTTCCCAGTTTGAGCAGAGGACTGTGATCTGTGAGTCTACCCCTAAATAAATAACCCTTTATTATACTCAATTCTGGATCCCTGGAACTGGAGCTATGAATGGTTAAGAACCACCATAGACTTCTGGGAATTGAACCCTGGTCTTCTACACGAGCAGCAGGTGCTCTTAATCATGAGTCATCTTTCCAGCCCCTTGTCATTTTGTTTTGTTTTGACACAGGGTCTTATAGCCCATCCTGGCCTAGTACTTGCTCTGTAGCTCAAACTGGATCTCAGAATTCACCTGAGCACTAGGGTTACAGGGTATAGGTCGTCCGAATGGCTACAGAACAGGTCTCAATCTCTCAAGAGTTTCTGACATAACAAAACAAGAACCGAGCACATCTTTGGACAGAATTAAACTACCGTGATATTATGATACTCTGGTACCTGATGCCAGAAGTCCAGTGGTTTCTTTTTAAAATAAAAATAATTTTAGAGTACCCACAAAATCTACCAATATCTTTATTCCAAGGGGTGAATTTCTGGTAGAAATGCTGTTTAAATTATGGCAGGTCTGTGGATTGTAGGAAGACTCAAACAGACATGTCTCTTACGTGTTTCCTGTGTGTGGTGACAAACACAGTTCCTAAATGAGTTCCTCTTTCCACCCGATGCCATCGAGCAGCATGTGCCCACAGCAGGCCAAGGTAGTGATGTGAACAGGAACCAGGAGAGACCGCAACTGGGAAACTGATTTGGAAGCCAAGGGAAACACGCTTGTAACACGTAACTACTGAGTGTTGATGCAACTCAGTAGTTTATGACAGCTGATGCTCCCACGCAGCCTCTCAAAGGTGGCAAGATGTGGAACGAAGAAATGGGTGACTTTGACTTTGCAACAGTCGCCCAATGCTTTCTAATGGATTTCCTAATAGGACTTGTAGTAAATAAATTTTCTAAGTTCTTTGCAAAATGACTCAGGTTTTTTGTTTTGTTTTGTTTTTCTGTGTGTAGCCTGTCCTAGAATTAGTTCTATGGACTTCGTTTTTTAAATTGGGCTGCAGTGTGGCAGAGCATGCCTACTAAGCACATGAGGCCCTGTGTAGAAGCCCTGGCACCAGGAAACCATTCTTTATTATGCTAATGATGCATTTAGCCTCTAGGTTCCAGCAGGAGGAATCAACTTGTTATTTTGTATGAACTGTTAACTGTCATTTCCCTTATCTACATAATAAAAAAAGTGGGCTCAAACTAAGTTTGTTTTTAAATCACTTGTCTGGTATTACATTGGTTGCATATTTACCATAGAAGGTAAGCAGAAAAGAATGATTATCCACATGGAAATCGTATTATTATCCTCTGGCACCCTGGAGTTTTTGCTGTCCTGACAGTCATCTGACCTTCCTTCCTGTTTTGGCTTTCAGAAAGCCACCAGTCAGCCTCAGATGCTGCTGAGAGTTCCAAGGGCTGAATTCATACGAACAAAAAAAGATTATGTCTACAAGCAGGAGTAAATTTAGCAGCTACTTCTATGATACACTAAGACAGCTATCCTAAATAAAAACCCAGGACTTTCCTGATTTGCCTTTTGTTTTTCTCTTAGTGGGATGGTAAGAGCCAGGCTTCCTTTCATCTACCTTTCTCTTTATGTCCTGTTGTCCCTGATAGCCCTTGAAGGAATACAGCTCAGAGACGATACGATACTGAGGAATACAGCTTGAGACGTGGCAAAGGCGCAGTGGCCTACCCTATACAGAGAGCAAAAAGCCACAGACACTTACTTGTTCGCTAGATCGAGACAGACAACTCTTGATGACCTCCGTTTCCAGAAGTGTGCGTTTATTAATCTCCACGTGCTCATAGTACTTAGACAGGCGGGTCTGCCCCTGTCTGTTCACCATAAGGAAGAACTTTATCATTTTCCCCCTTTGGCCAATTCCTTTCCAAATAGAAATTAAAAGTAACAGCAAGGGATGCCTGTGGCTACAACCTGGAGAATGAAAGCACAGAAAGGCAACATTACATTTCTCAAAGACTCACCCTAAGCCTGTTCCACAGATGAGCCAGAGGAAGCAAACATGTGACGGAAGCAGTATTCATTCTTAAGGACTAAATGAGGCTTAAATAAATAGAACCATACACAGTTTCCACAAAACGACTCTGAGCACACGCAGCCCTTCCACTCAGAAATGGCCAATTTGTTCATCAAGTTTGATGGGTACTGAGTTGAAGTGCAATCTTTTTATTTTATTATTTATTTATTTATTTATTTTTGAGACAGAGTTTCTCTGTAGTTTTGGAGTCTGTCCTGGAACTAGCTCTTGTAGACCAGGCTGGCCTTGAACTCACAGAGATCAGCCTGCCTCTGTCTCCCAAGTGCTGGGATTAAAGGCGTGCGCCACCACCACCCGGCTTGAAGTGCAATTTTAATTAGTCTTTATAATAAAAAACTGGAGTCAGATATTGGGGTGAAAGCTGAGAGATCAGAGAAGCACAGCAGTCAGCCATTAGAGACCTTTAACCACTACGGAATCCTCAGACCCAAGGGGTGATCCTGTCTCTATGAATCCTAAGACAGCAGTACAAAATGACATTGTGACGGAGACAGACACAATTCAAGAGTCCAGAGAGGATCCCTTGCAGGAGGACGAGGAAGGAAACCCCAGAGAAGGGGCATAGGAGCAGTATCTGGAAGCAGGACCTAGACGAGACTCCATGGCTGGGAAAACAGGCGACAAAGGCTCCGGGCAGTTCATTGTGGTTTCAGGTTAGGGCACCAGAGCGGCTAGAGGGCCTGGAGTAAGGGCTCAGCGGGGGCTCTTCAGAGGTCAGTCCTCCACACCCATCTTAGACAGTTCACAACACCTGTAACTCCAGCTCCAGGGGATCTGACACCCTCTTGTACCCTCTACAGGTACCTACACTCATGTGCGATACCCCCAAACATACATACACATAAGTAAAAATAAGAAAACAATTTTAAGGACTGGAGAGATGGCTCAGAGGTTAAGAGCATTGCCTGCTCTTCCAAAGGTCCTGAGTTCAATTCCCAGCAACCACATGGTGGCTCACTACCATCTGTAATGAGGTCTAGTGCCCTCTTCTGGCCTGCAGACATACACACAGACAGAATATTGTATACATAATAAATAAATATTAAAAAAAGAAAACAATTTTAAAAAATGGTTGGGGCTAGAGAGACAGCTCAGTGGTTAAGAATCCTGGCTGCTCTTCCTGAGGTTCTGAGTTCAATTCCCAGCACAGCACCCACACAGTGGGTCACAATCATCTATAGTGGGATCTGATGCCCTCTTCCGGCATAAAGTCAATATAGCACTCATATACATAAAATAAATATATCTTTTTGAAAAAAGAATGGCCGTAGGAAATCAAGCTGCTCGCATGGAATAAGAGCTTTAGCAGTCACATTAAGGAGTTGTATGCAGTATGCACACAGAGCTCAAGAGCTGAGGTAGGAAATCTGCCACGTGTTTGAGGCCAATGTGGGCTAAAGAGTGATCAATTCTGTCCCAAAAAACAAAGGAGAAGTTATGCTAAGGAGCCTGAGCTTCATTACTGGCTGGAGGAAGATCTAAAGCACAGTATTTCTTCTTTAGTGTGGAATAAGCAATATCAGCTGTCGCCAAACTCCTCTAAAAGGCCCAACAGCAAACTGTGCTCTTTGCTTTCACATACAGGACTTGGTCTCCTCGTTGGTTTTAGGGGGTTTCCGTGATCTGGGCATAACAAGAACCTCACATGATCAAGAAACATTTGTTAAAACCAGGAAAACACCTGGGGAGTGGTGGTGCACACATTTCATCCCAACACTCGGGAGGCAGAGAGGCAGGCGAATCTCTGTGAGTTCAAGGACAGCCTGGTCTACAAGAGCTAGTTCCAGAACAGTCTCTAAGGCTACAGAGAAACCTTGTCTTGATAAACCAAAACAAAAAACAAACAAACAAACAAAAACCAACCAACGACAACAAAATCCCCCAAAACTAAGAAACCAATACTAGGTTGCTGGAGGGATGGCTCAGCAGTTAAAGCACACACTGTTCTCACAGAGGACCCAATTTTGGTTCCCAGCACCCACATGGCAGCTCAGAATGGCCTGTAACTCCAGTCTTAGTGGATCTAATGCACTCTTCTGGCCTCCACAGGGCCCCAAATGTAAGTATTCCCTCACACATAAAGACACAATATACCCACAAATAAAAATCCTATAGTCCTAAAATAAAGCAGTACTGACTGATACTTTGCGGTTAACTGCAGGCTTGAATTGGAGTTCCCCCATCTTCCCATAAAATCTTCTTTTTGTTCTTGTGTTCCACCTGGAATGCCAGTATTACAGTGTTGTGGGAGTAACTTCCGCTGCCTCAACCAATAGTCGCTGAAATACGAGCCCACAGTGCAACGGGGAGCGACTTCCGCTCCGTCAGCCAATAGCTGCTGAAATACCAGTCCACTGGGGCGTGGTATATTTCTCTTTTAAAAAGAGAAGCAGATCCGGATCAGGCCCTCTTGGTTCCGGTGCTTGCTCCTGGCTCCTGCGACTAGGCTCCCTTCCTGATGGTTTATGGTGTATGTAAGTTTTACCCCCCCAAACAAATAACCCCTTAAAACATAACTGGTGTGGGATTGATTCGCTGATATTACAGTGTCCAGTCTTTGTTATTCAAGACTCTGTGATTGTTAATTTTGATGATAAACTTGATAAGAGTTAGAATCACCATGGAAACAAATGCCTAGTTGTCTAGAAGGAGTTTCTAGATTGGGCTAATCACTAGAAAGACTCAACCTAAGTGTGGGTGGTAACATTCCATAAACTCGCATCTACTAAATAAAGGGGGATCTGAACCTTGCCAATCAGTTTTCTACTTCTTGACTGCAGCATCTATGCGACCTGTACCAAAAGTCACATGACTAGTGTCTACCATGTCTTCCCAGCATGGTGGACTATACTCTCAAACTGTGAACCAAAGTAAGTCTTCCTTTCTTAAGTCGCCTTTGCTGGGTATTTCATCAGAGCAATGAAACAAGAAATGAATCAAGTCTCCTCATTTGGATTTACCCGATACTTTCCTTATGATCAGATTTTTGAAACACAACAAACAGACAAAAACCACAGCAGCACAGCAGCACGAGGCCTGGTGGCATATTCCTATAATCCTAGCTCTGGGAAGGCAGAAAGGAGAATCAATGCAAGTTTGAGTATAGCCTGGGGTACACAGTGAGACCCTGTGTCAAGAAACCAGAGTAAGAGTCTGGAGTCATGGCTCAGCAGTTGAGAACACTGATTCTATTTCCAGAATCCCTGGGTGGATTCCCAGCACCTACATGGCAGCTCACAACCATCTGTAACTCTAGTTCCCACCACTAGGATCCAACCACCACTTCTGGTCTCCCAGGGCACCAGGCAGGTAAGTGGCACACAGCTATATATGCAGGTGAAACATCATACACACAGAATTAAGGATATATAAGAATAATTAAATTAATACATAAATAAAACCAACATCAAAGTAAGTGAAGTGTGTTTGTCATCCTATCGTATTAGGGTACATGACATCTCTCTGACATCAGCAAGATGTCAAAGGTTAATAATACTTGAATTCACTTCCTTAAATATATTAAAGACCCTAATTGCTTACACAAAGACTCTCTTGTCAATATAAGATAGAGTTAGCTTTGTTTTTCTTTCTTTCTTTTTTTTAAATACTTATTTATTTATTATGTATATAATATTCTGTCTGTGTGTATGCCTGCAGGCCAGAAGAGGGCACCAGACCCCATTACAGATGGTTGTGAGCCACCATGTGGTTGCTGGGAATTGAACTCAGAACTTTTGGAAGAACAGGCAATGCTCTTAACCTCTGAGCCATCTCTCCAGGCCCTTGTTTTTCTTTCTTATGTCAAGACATTCTAAGCATTAATATTTAATCATTAAAATTCTGTTGATTTTTTTTTTTTGAGACAGGATTTCTCTGTGTAGCCCCTGTCTGTCCTGGAACTCAATCTGTAGACCAGGCTAGCCTTGAACTCAGAAATCTGCCTGCCTCTGCTTCTTGAGTGCTGGGATTAAAGGTGTGTATCTTCAAACCCAGAAAATTCCTGGTGGATTCTTACTGTGTGCTGGCAGGTAACCCATGAATTATTCTGTCTTCTAATATAATAGAAATGCATTAAACTAGACTACAGATCCTTCTAAGAGTACAAAGAGTTACATACACTAATGTTGTACAACAGTCTTAGTGCAGCCTATGACTTCCCTGATACCTACCCAGTGGTTTAGGCTGAGAGCCCTGAGTAGGGCAGACTCATTTGTAAGATTTCTTAAAAATAAACCAACTTGGGCTGGAGAGATGGCTCAGAGGTTAAGAGCATTGCCTGCTCTTCCAAAGGTCCTGAGTTCAATTCCCAGCAACCACATGGTGGCTCACAATCATCTGTAATGGGGTCTGGTGCCCTCTTCTGGCCTGCAGGCATACACACAGAGAGAATATTGTATACATAATAAATAAATAAATATTAAAAAAAAACAAAAACAACCAACTTGCCAGGCACGGTGGCTCATGCCTGTAATCCTAGCACTTGGGAGGCTGGGCAAATTGAATTGGAGGGCAGCCTGGGCAGCAGCTATGAAACCCTATTTCAACCCCACACTGGAGGAAAAAGAAGAAAAAAAATCCAACATGAGACAGGAATGGTAATGTATTCGTGTGTCCCTGTGCATGAAAGGATGAAGGAGGAAGGGCAAAGCAAGAAGACAGTTCAAGGACAGCTTGCACCACAGAACACAGCTCAGTTCTGTCTACAAACAGACTGTCCCAAAGAAGAAAAAAACGGACAAATTAGCATCACCAACGATGAAAACTAAATTAACAGGAGATAACAATCACTGGTCATTAATATCCCTTAATGTAAATGGACTCACCTATAAAAAGGCACAGGCTAACAGATTGGATACAAAAACAGAATCCATCCTTC